GGGGCCGGCCATCCATGCTACTTTCATCGTTCACCCCTGTAGCATCATGCCAAGCAAGTTCGGGTCTTGCACTAGGTGTCTCGTGCTCAGCTTGGTTCGGCACATGGTCCAGTGTGCCTTTCCAGAATTTCCAGCAATCCTGACAGGCTGGTCTCACTCTCACGTCACATGCTGAGTGTTGATTGTTTTTTTTCTCCAAGTGATCCCTTGGGTTCAATCATCCACCATTAAAACAGTGGAGGTTCATACAACCACCATTGTTTACCTAAGGTTTGTCATCATCCAAATTGGGTCAACCCTTCTTTCAATGGGGGTTAATCCCTAGGGTGATTCAATCCCCCCAAATCCGCGCCAAACCGTTCATCGACGGCAGGCCACGAAGAACACCGCGGCAGAGTGGGTGGCTGCGCGAGCTGTGCGGACGACGCCTCGGAGATCTCGCTCGCTTGAAAGGGGTTGAACATAGGTGTCCTGTTTGGTTGCTTTGCTTGAAAAATAGATGGCGATTCCTGGTTTACCTGGTGGTTTAATCATCTACCAGGGAAACCCATCTATTTCCCCTCAAAGGACTCCTATGAGGTTGAAGCTTAACACGTTGAAACCATCTGACACGGTCTGACCACGTGACCATTTATGCAGCGTCCCTTGAACAGCTGGTGTGCCCCCTCTCTGATTCTCTGATTCTCTCATATGTTCCCTCAGTTTCTCGGTCGGGCAAGCCTGTTGCCACGGCTTTGAGCCAAACGCCTGCCTCCCGCGAACAAAAAAAACGGAAAGCGGCGAGGCATGGGCTGGACTTCTTCGTGCGCGCCCTTTCCCGGCGGACCGCACTGCCCATCGATGCATAAAGGAGCATGCGCGCGGATGGGCGTCCACAGAAGTCAGAGTTTCGATCAGGGGCGCTTTTGGTGGACATCATTTGAGCTTGGGATTTATGTCCCTTCAACTGTTTGGGAGGGTGTTCTTCGTTAAGATTCACTGCCAAGTGCATGCCAACAGCTCGTTTTACCAAATGACCTTCGCCCTTTGTTTTCTCAAGCCCGAAAAAAACCAAAAGGAAATAAAGAAGAAAACACAAACATGTACCCCTCACTCGTTCAACAGAACCGATAGGCTGTCTTTCATCCCACCCACTGCTCATTCCACTCAAAAACATACGTTCCCTATAGACCACCATCATTTCCGGGGCTTCCTTCACTATCCCTTGCAGCGAGGAACAACTTCTACCCAATCACATCAAGGTATGTGTGCGTTACAGTATGTTGTACACTTCTACTTGTTTCACAGTATATGTGTACATAAATATTTATACACATATATAGCGCACTTCTGGAATAGAATGAAGGTTAAGCTGTGTCTTTGGAATGATGCGTGGTTGTGACTGGAATGATGAGGGGAAGGCGGCGACGATTACTGTTGAAAGTGAAGGGTGTGAAACGTTGGTTGAGAAAAACAGCACATGGCGCTCATGTGGGAAGTGACTATTTGTTGTTTTTTTTACTCCGGGGTTGCACAAAAGAGTGCAAGACTGATTTGCAGATCTCGGCCGTGCACAGGACTCAGATGCCACGCAGCTGTACAGAGTTTAAAGACTGCGCGCAGAAGTTCTGAAGCGAGTAAATGCTTGGCGATGGTCGCCGTTTCACTGGTACAGAGCCAGATGGCACAGAAGCACAAAGAAATGCGATTTATTGTAGTTCGACCTGGGCATCTCGGAATCTCGAGTCAGGCTTCCATACAAGTGACTTCACTGGCTGAAGCGGGTACAGGATGGATGCTCAGGTCCAGCCGAGCCCGAGCGTGCAGGGGCTGGCAAATTGCGAGGCCTTTGCGATGCCCGAGGTAGCATGGCATTCCGCCCCGGAAAAGAAAAGAAGAAGAAAAGAAACACGGGCGCGGTGTCGAGTGGGGCTCTGGGGACTCGGAGCCATAGAGCAGGTCGCGACCAGAAGCGTCTCTCAAAGTTTGCAGAATGGTTCTGATTCCTACGAGCGAATGTCCATGCATTCCCTTCACTGGGACAAGCATGGCAATGCCCAACTCCCACAAATACACTCCAGCTGAAACCTGCCTCTAGCTCTCTGCGACTTTTGCTACCGCCATCGCCATGACCTGCTTGCATTTGGAGCTCTCAAAGCTTGAGCTTACAGGCTGAAAGCATTTCCACGACGCGCACTTTCATTGAGATGTCCAGAGCTTTCATCGCTCCATTCCAGGAGAGCAATGAACAAGTTTGATTGCTTCAGCTCATGAACTTCATGCACTTGCCACAGGCTGCAGACTTTGGTGTTGCATTCGCACAGAGGACCGTTCTGTTGTGCATGCCTCTTGGCCATAGGTTTTGTGGTCCACTCGGCACGTGCAGAAGTCGGCTGCAGACTTGGCGTCGCATTCGATTGCGCCGTATGCCTCAGAGCGCTGCAGCGAATCACTCACGCCGATGGAGCTGTCCTCCAGTGCCCTGGCATCCGGGGCGTAGTTTGCCTATGGGGTCGCAGGGTTCCCGAAACGCACATGGAGTGTTGTCTTGGTTGGACGTTTGGGGAAAGTCAGTCCCAGAAAAACCTGAAGGTGATGTGCCGCAAAAACCCCACTCGATGCAGCTACTTTCTTCTTTGTGCGTGAAATATCTGCAAAGGGTTGGTGAGACATGATGGCTCTTTATACAAAATCCACAACGGGATGTCATTGGAACAAGTTCAAACCGCAATTGCTGCAGTTTGGAAGCCGAGGTTTGGAGGCTGCAGCAAGGTTTCAGAGAACCACATTCAAACAAAGGGCTCGCCTTCTCCTTTCAATTTTGCCCCTCGTATTCAAGCCAGTGGCTTGGGAATTTGAACCCTTTAAGCCTTTTAAGGGAAAGCAGCCAAGCTCCAAACCAAATCCACAGGGCAGCTGCTTCTGTCTGCCCTCGACTTAACTGCATGCTGAGGCTTCTGGGATTCCTTGGATTCTGCAGAGGCAGACTACTTGAAGAGCTTGCTCGAGGCCGTGTCTCTGCGACTCGTCGTGCATGGCTTCTGTTATTTGACTCGTGTGTCGGGTTTTGGAGGGGTGTACTTACAGACGCGAGCATGACGGAATCCAAGTGGTTGGTCTTGTTTTGAAAATGACATGCGACTTGGGTCGATTCCCCGAGGTTTCAGCTGCAGCTACGTCAAAACGAGCGCCTCATCAGCGAAGCGAAGGCCGGACGCGTATCTGTGAGCCCTCGTGCTCCAACCGGAGCCTTGGGCTAGTTGCAGTCTCTTCCTTGTCATCAAAGGAACCCCTCGATCAACTTTGAAAACTTGGGCACCGTTGCCAGGATTTAGACAGTTTGACGATGGTGCTCAAGGATTGATGCAGCATCATTCAGATGTAATTATGCATGAATGTATGTCATGCATGTAATGTATGCAATAAGTGTATGCAATAATTGTATGTAATGTATGTAATGTATGTATGTTGTATGTAATGTAACGTAATGCAATGCAATGCAATGCAATGCAATGTAATGTAATGTAATGTAATGTAATGTAATGTAATGTAATGTAATGTAATGTAATGTAATGTAATGTAATGTAATGTATGTGTGTATGTAATGTAATGCAATATAATGCAATGTAATGTAATGTAATGTAATGTATTGTATTGTAATGTAATGTAATGTGTGTATGTAATGTATGTATGTATGTATGTATGTATGTATGTATGTATGTATGTATGTATGTACTGTATGTATGTATGTATGTATGTATGTATGTATGTATGTATGTATGTATGTATGTATGTATGTGTGTGTGTATGTAATGTATGTATGTATGTATGTATGTATGTATGTATGTATGTATGTATGTATGTATGTGTGAATGTATGTATGTATGTATGTATGTATGTATGTATGTATGTATGTATGTATGTGTGAATGTATGTATGTATGTATTTATGTATTTATGTATTTATGTACTAGTGTAATGTAATGTAATGTAATGTAATATAATGTAATTTAATGTAATGTAATGTGATATATACATGTATGTATGTATGTAATGTATGTATGTATGTAATGTATGTATGTATGTAATGTAATGTAATGTAATGTAATGTATGTATGTAACGTATGTATGTATGTATGTATGTAATGTAATGTAATGTAATGTAATGTAATGTAATGTAATGTAATGTAATGTAATGTAATGTAATGTAATGTAATGTAATGTAATGTAATGTAATGTAATGTAGTGTATGTATGTATGTATGTATGTATGTATGTATGTATGTAATGTATGTATGTATGTATGTATGTATGTATGTATGTATGTATGTATGTATGTATGTATGTATGTATGTATGTATGTATGTATGTATGTATTAATGTGATGTAATGTGATGTAATGTAATGTAATGTAATGTAATATGTATGTATGTATGTATGTATGTATGTATGTATGTATGTATGTATGTATGTATGTATGTATGTATGTATGTATGTATGTATGTAATATATGTAATGTATGTATGTATGTATGTATGTATGTATGTATGTATGTATGTATGTATGTATGTATGTATGTAATGTATGTATGTGTGTATGTAATGTATGTATGTATGTATGTATGTATGTATGTATGTATGTATGTATGTATGTATGTATGTATGTATGTATGTATGTATGTATGTAATGTATGTATGTAATCTATGTATGTATGTATGTATGTATGTAATGTAATGTATGTATGTATGTATGTATGTATGTATGTATGTATGTATGTATGTATGTATGTATGTATGTATGTTCTTATGTATATGTATGTATGTATGTATGTATGTATGTATGTATGTATGTATGTATGTATGTATGTATGTAATGTATGTATGTATGTATGCATGCATGTATGTATGTATGTATGTATGTATGTATGTATGTAATGTATGTATGTAATGTATGTATGTAATGTATGTATGTATGTATGTATGTATGTATGTATGTATGCATGCATGCATGCATGTTATGTATG